ATATGCCATATGATATGAATGATTATACGATGTGATATGGTATGATAAAATTCTTCAATTATTCCCCTAACAATTTGTTATTATATTTGTAAATAATATTGAAACCACGCACTGACCTACTTTCGCCAAGTACTTTTAGAGCATATTTATTGTTCATTTTTCTCTGTCATTTTTCCTCATCCCCATAATCAATATCAGGACAATTTAGACCATGGTTTTTAATAGTTCTTCAAATTATGATTTGCAGCAAAAAAGAGAGATCTATGTGTTTCATTTGCACCAAATAAACGTTGTAAAGAATAGAGGATATTAAATAAGCGAACGTTTTAAAACTGAATTCATTGAACTAGTTGTATCATGCGAGTTCAATCAGTTTAGTAATTAACGTATATAATATTCATTCATGTTATCATAAACTCAAAATAAGAACTGTTTTAATTAAACAAAACATTTAGTGCGTCTTTACGCTATGTTTGTATAACAAAAAAAGACGTCGCCATGTTATCACTACTGTTTCCACGGAGTTAAGAAAACGGCGATGCAACAAAAAAGACGATTCTCACTGCTTTTTATATATTCAAAGAAAGTATGTGAACTATAAGACTATAATTAATCAAAGTAGTGAATTGCAAATCACAAGGTCAAAATTGACTTAAAGCTGCATGACTCCGTTGAAAGAAAATGTACAAGGATTTCAAGAAAATGAAATGATTTAAGATCAATAATAATATTTTTACACCTTGTGTGCGATTAATGACTGATTGTGCAGTATTTATCACCATATATTTACTGCGTGACTATTTTTGCATATTCAGTGTATTGACCTCTTTTTGTAATTTACGTGGATCATTAGTGCCATTTGCAATGTGTTGCAATGTGTTAATTTTTTTTTATGTTCCCATGACAACATTATAATTTTCAATACATTTTCAAAGTTTTCATGAAAATTAGCTTGAATTTGGAGGCATACTGCTTTAAAAGGAATGTGTATTTGTTAGTTAAACATATGGGTATGTGTATATTGAACATGCATTGTACTTTGTTTTACTATTATTAAACACAGATTACATTAATTAAATATATAGCCTGTTCATGTGTTCAACTGCAGCTAAAAACGCCAAAAAATCATTCCTTAGACTTATTACATGCAGAAAATTTTTCATGATAATAAACACAAAACATTTCAGTTGAACATATAAACTTTTCCAGTGTACAGTTGCAAATAAACACGCCAAAGATATATTTCAATGATTTTCTTGAAGCAGTTATATCTTCAACTTGATTAATGAATCGTTGTTTTTCGTAGCATGAACCAGAACAATCGTTTATCTAGTTTATCTAAATAATAAAACAATGAAAATTGTCTATTTCAATACCAATAATGGCTTTCAAGACTTCATATATATGAGCAAAGTGTTTGAGTAAATGATCAAATATTAGCCGAAAATGAATGGGAAAATTACAAAGAATTTCATACTTGTTCAATAGCGTTTAATATCTTTCACTACTTGAAGCATTTAAAACGTTTCCCTCTTTATTCTCCACTCTTTATTCTTCTTTTCATTTCTGCCAACAGTTCACACTTGTTCTATTATGCTTATTGGGCGAATCACGTGTATCTCTAATCATAGTAGTAATTTTAGACATTCTGACATTCATAAAGTATGATTTATTTAGTAATTAGATATAATTATTATGTCGGAAAAGCACGTGCTGACAATTATTTATGTCAATTATTATCGTAGTATAATAATATCGAGAGTACAGACGGTCGGTACTTTATGTAACATTTGTAAAAGCAGCTTGTCGCCTTTGCATATATCATAGGACTAGATAGAGTTAAAAGAATTAAATAATTGTCCTAGATGCTGTAATTGTGAAAAAAATTAGGGAAAAAAGATGTAAGTTTTTTTTATTTACTTAAAAGGATTCTTTTGAAATTGACAAAAAGCATGAGTAATGTATATACATTTGTCTAAAAGAAGAAAGATAATTGTAAAGAAAGTCCAAAACGGCATGACTGAAAATATTGCCTGCACGGTTTGATTGTGCCTGTTCATGGATAGTACTGAAAAGTTCAAGCTTCTGTTCACGCCCTCTAGCCTCGGCTAAAGCAAAATTCAACATTTAAACGTGGTAATGGTGAAATTTTGAGTTAAGAAACATCAGCATAAATCACGAATATGCTATACTTTTTAATGATAAATGAAATGTTGATAACAACAAACAACATCTGGCAATGTATAGACTTAATCAGTGCAAACGGCTATACAATATGTGGAACGAAGGACAAACATATAGAAATTCTCATAAACCGATAAGTGTAATATTTTGTCACCACTTTGCAAGATTTCTACCAAAAGTGTTGTGGTTTGTTTTTCACATGAAATCGTATAATGCAGGATAGAATCGCTCTGGGAAATCAAAATCAGTGGGTGTGTACTTTTGCATAGACAAATTACTCGTGTGTACCAAATCACTGTAATTAAAGTAATTCACTTTTAGGTAGACAAATGCACCATATAACCTTTCTTTGAATTGTTAATGTCATTTATCATGTGCTTTCGATGAAAAATTATGAGCATGATATCAATTTCAAGGTCCATGGTGATTATGCGTACATAGAATGTTTTATGACAAATAAATAAATGGAATCTGTCAAATTAATTAAACAGAAACATCAAAAGTATTCGTGGTTCAGAAAAAGATCGGGTTCGGCTTGATTGATATGCCAAAACTGTAATCACAAAATCAGCTGTACTGGTCGATGTCTTTTTTTTCTTCTCTTCTTTTAATTTTCTTCCTGCTTTGTTTCTTTTTTTTCCAAATTTATGGCAAAAAGCATGTATTAGATATATCAATATTAGGTCTCTCACTATTTTGCTAATAATTGTTATGCTACACACTCATGACACTAATTTCTTATTTAACGTAAAGGAATGTTTATACGGCATATGAGGAAAGATATGACCTTGACGTCAGATATGACGTCAGTAAAACAAATGGCGTCTTGGAAATGTCTTCTTGCATCGATGAAGCTCAGCATAATATTATATCTATCGAATATTTTTCTATATGATTAGCATATTAGAATGTGAACAGTTCCATGTTTGTTCTTGTATTGTTTTAAAATAAATGCATGGTTTATCGTCCATGCTTTCTTAAAAATCAGCTGGTTCTTACTACCTTCGTAATTATACTTTGACGTTATTTTGTAATGAAGTTTCTGTTTCCTAAAGAAAATAGAGAAAAACAGAATCCCTAAAGAAAGCCCAAAAACAACAAAAATGAAATTATTGCACGCTCGGTTTGATTGAGCCTGTTTACGGACGGTAGTGGTATTTCCATTCACGCCCCCCCCGCACCGGCTTAAGCAGAATTCAACATTTAATTATCTAATGGTTAAATTTTGAATTTAGAAACATCCGCAGTAGTGTTCTTACCTTATCATGTAATATGTTCGTACTATTCAATGAAAAGCGGCGTATGGTCCCAAAGTGAAAGAATGTAACTTTTAAGTACTATTTAATTAATAAGAAAAATGATATGTTGGAAAACAGAACAAAAGCGATCTAAACAGAAAGTAAGAAAATTGTTACACTACTCAGGATATGCCATACCATGGATAAATTATTCCTTTTCTGTATTATTAAGTTATTCTTAAGTAGATATATTTGTTTATCTTATGGATTTTCTTTTCTTGCCATGCATTTCTTATGAATTTCGACATGAAATGTGAAACAACAAAATCGTTATAAAAAAGAATGCTTTGGCATTGGTATTGATATCTGCAAAACCCATTGCTCATGAAACCAATCCCGTAGGCATTGTTTTCTTAGTTTATTAATCGGTTCGTTGTTAAACAGACATCTGAAGAGATGCTTATATTAAAACTGTCTGTAGCAGATGATTATATAATATAATAGCCATGTTCAGCAATCGAAGGTGTCTGGAACATATTAAGAGAATTAAGAAATTAACAGAAGTGGCATTAAATTATTTTGATTTACAAAATAAACTCAAAATACACTCAAAAGAAAAAGATTTATAAGGACTGAAGTTTCTTATTTATATTTTGTTTACTTAATCATTTTTAATGCATTTCATATTTCAGTCACTCGAGAAATGCGCAACTATACAATACTGCAAATTCATAAAAATATATATAGTTTGACATTCTTAAATAGATCAAATAGCACACTTAATTAACAAACGATAATTACGAAAACAACTCAGAATAAATTGAAAATCGTATTTCAGGCCCAATATGATTCAAAGGTGTCGCACGCTTTTCAAGTTTTGCTCATTTTTTTACAATTAGAATTATTTTTCTGGAAAAAACGGAGGAAGCTAATTATCTGGAATTCTGCACACAGATAATTGGTCTAGATCTACATCAAATGGTATATCAATCTTTAAAATAAAAAATATTTCCAGTCCCGTCATGTCTAAATATAATCCGAGTGAAGTCCCTTTAATCATTTAAACTTATATTATCTGCATGTAGTCCCAGCAGGCACTCGACGTTGTTTCAACGTTGAAACAACGTTGAAATATGGTCGTGACGTTGTTCAACCAATATTCAACTATGGACGATCATACGGATATATTGCCAATGTATATACAACGTTGATTCAACGTTGTTTATGGTCGAAGTTTTACATTTAGTTTAATCATTATATAAACCCTTATACCACTAATTTTGTGTTATTATTCCTTTATTGAATTAGTCTGTAAGTGATTTTTGTCAGGAAAATTTGCGTTACAATATTTTTCCGTAGATCTATATTCAAAATTAGCGCTTAAACAAATAAAAGTTGGAAATAATTTTTCACTTTATATATTAACGCTTTAAATGTTAGTTAATATGTTTTGTTGTTTTATTTTTTAGTTCTTTATGAATAATATTAATTAATAAATTGATTTTAGTCAAAACCCCGTTTATAAAATAACGCTGGTCAGGGGAAATAATTGTTGCGTCTCCATGATTATCGTTCGTGCAAATGGTGGCGCTGTTTGGAAAATTTGAAAACAACACTATTGGCCATTTATTTGGATTTCGAAGGTATTACAGTAATGTTTTACTTTAGTTTACCGATTGTGTTCTAAAATATTATTATTTATTCTTAAAATTCTACTTTAATACTTTATGAAATAAATGAGAGATGAAAACACATGATTGAGTTGATTTGACATGTTTTCGCGACCTAATTGAATGATTTGGGTTTTGTAGGCCTTGTAAGGCCTAAGCATGATGTTATTGATGTCCTTGGCAATTTATGATTTTACAAATCTTGTCTTTCTTTAATTTATTTTTCATATTATTAAACCTTTGTCTGTACTATATCCTAATTAGAATTTAATCAATTATAAAATTGAAACCTATTAAGTAGTTCGGCCCACATAATTTACGTCCCAAGACAATATATATAACTATGATAATAGACTATGTTTATATTTTAGTGATAGTATAATACAGTGTTAATTAGTTTGAAAAAAAATACATTATTATTTAGTTAAATAACAAAGTTGAGTGTTAAACTTTAAAGTTGAACAGTCGTAAATTTATAGGGAATAATAAATCTATTTCTATTTTATTATATATTATTTTATTTTCTAGATCCTGGTCCTGGCTGAAATTTAGAGTATTGCAGCTGTAGTCTGTATACCATACACTCAACATGAAAAGGACTGTCAGGTTTGTTAAATTGAAATTAATTCTTATTAATTTATATATTTGAATTTATTATATACTTATAAATGAAATATTGAGAAATATTGATGAAATAAAATGCGTATTTTCATTTTCCGTATTTTCACTGTAAAAATTTATTTTTCACTGCAGTGAAACATATTTTCCGTATTTTCACTGGTGTCTTGCCGGACTACTTTCTTTTAAATTCTGCCAGTACACAAAAATTAAGGGAAAGTCTTTCAAATTTTATCGTAAAAAAGAGAAAAATGTATATAATAAACAGAAAATTCAAGTTTTTTTCTATAAATACATGATTTATTTTCATCTTGTGGCATGAAAATTACCATATTACACTCGTGGCTACCGCCACTCATGAAATATTTATTTTCATACCACTCGATGAAAATAAATCATGTATTTATAGAAAAAACTTGAATATCCTCTATTTATTTACAATACAAAGTATAAATTTTTCAACTAGATCTACTGGATATTTATCTTGTCTTAAAATATATTATTTTCTGAATATTCCTGTAACATTATTAATATAAAATTTACATGTTTGTTGATTTCAGGATGCTGCATAAAATGGTCTTAGCTAGAGCCTAGAATGTTAATTTCTTGGGAATATGCTGCAAGGAACTGACGGGGAGCAGTTTTTCTTACCAATCATAGGTGAGACTTTTAAATAGCTTCTTTTTAAAAAGATTTTGTTGTCTTATATACAGTTTTTGCTGTCAATATGAAACTTAGCTATGTTTCAATTTCTATGCTGTTTTATGGGAAAAGCATTTTAAGATAAAAACAAATCACTAAGTTGAGTAATTATATGTATAATTTGAGATTGACCAAGTCAACAACTTCTTATTTTTATTTGCAGAAGCAGTAAGAGAAAGCCAAGGAAGTACTCAAACACCTGACATACCCAGAAAGATCTAGAAGAAAAGATTGGAACAGATTGTAGCTTAATTGTTAAAACTATTAAAGTGAATTTAAGCTGCACTTGAACTGTATTTTTTAATTAAAATATCTGAAGTATTTAATATTGTCTTGATATTTTGTTAAACTTGGTAACTTTGCTTTATATCCAAAAATTAAAGTATGGTGGGTTTTCAACGTTGAAATGACATTGAAACTTCAACGTTGTACCAACGTTGAAGCTGCAACGTTGTATCAACGTTGAAATTTCAACGTTGTTTCAACTTTCAAATCCGAATATAAAAATCCAACCTTATTTCAACGTTGAAATCTGACCATAATTCAACGTTGAAACAACGTTGATGTGCCTGCTGGGAGTGTTTTAAGAGGTTAGGCTTTCGAGGGATTTTTCTGAATCTTAGTTTGAACACGTTCTTATGGACCTTTGCATCTAATTATGAAACAGTAACGATTTTTAAGTGTTTTGCTCTAGGACCATATAAAATATTTAGGACCGTTTAAAATATTTAAGACCTTATATAATATTTCGGTCAGTCATACAGATCGATTTTAATTGTGAAATTAAAGAAAAATACATATTAAAGGAGCTCAACTGAGGTCGAAAAGCCTAAACACATCAAAGTGGAAAGATTGTGGTCTGAAATTTTGCACACAGGTTAATGGCAAATGGTCCTGAAATCTTGGTAAAATATTGTCAGTCCCGTCATTTCAAAACAAACTCAGTAGAGTCCCTTTAAATTCGTTGAATACAATGTATTATCACAGTTTTATGCATTATGGATCTAATACGAAAATTCGACTTTGGACAGAATACTAAAATAATACGTACACATTTTTGCAAGAAACGTGCAAATACATTGAGTTGTAGATATCTTAAGCAATAAAGTATTATGTTTAAAATAATATGAGTGAATGCGGACTCAATGTATTGAAAAATAACAGCATTGTAGTGTTTTGCGATGACTAAGCAGATATCGCCAAATCCCGCGAGAAAATTTTATGCCTTTGTTAGTCCAGAAACTCCGGAACCTTTATTTAATGTAAATACAGTTTTGCTGCTGAATAATTCACCTTATTAGCTATGTCTAGGACGAAAATGCATTAGACATGAAAATTGTATGGAATCAAGACGCTTCTGTAATGTTGCTTATTCTTGGTGTGTGTTTTTAGTTGTTGTTGTTTTTTTGTTGTTTTGTTTTGTTTTTTTTGTTTTTTTTTGGGGGGGGTTGTTGTTGTTTTTTTTGTTGTTGTTGTTGTTGTTTCTGTCTGGATTTTTTTCTCGTTTATTGTTGTTGTTTGTTTGTTTGTTGTTTATCTTGTTTGTTTCGTTTCGTTTTATTTTTTTTTAGCTAATTATGATGTTAAAGTTTAAGTCCAAGCTAAAAATGACTACATCACGAAGGTGTTGCTATGTATTGTAAAACAATTTGTTGTGTTTCCTTCTTAAATTCGTTTTATTTTCACATTATCACTTCCAGCCACGATTTTTGTTCTCAGTAAACGTGTTTAAAAACATTATGAAGACATATAAAGATTACTTTATCAATGTGATATGGATGTTAACGAAGCTGCAACACATTCTTTGTCTCATTAATTACTTTGAGATGAGAGTATTTATTTTTTTACTTCATCCTTAATATTTATCTTAATTGTTAAACACTGTTTTATCGGAATAATTTTTGAACACCCGTATTCCTAATTATTGAGTTTTTAAGGAATTGCGATTATTTAAGAGCGTTGCGCTCTTTAGGTGTGGCTCAAAAGTTCCAGATGTAAAATCTTTTTGAGTGGTGATTTTCTCAAGTATTGCTTTTTCACGCGTGAGTAAAACATTCAGGTTGTTAGTTCTTTAGGAGTCGCGATACTTTTAAATATTGCGTTATTTTCGGCATGGCTTAATGGTTCAGGTGGTTGGCTATTTATGAGTAGTATAGCGATCAGTGTAAAAATCTTTAAGAGTGGCGTACATTTTTAGGTGGCGAGGTCATTAGGCATGGCTAAAAGACTCAGGTGGTTGGTTCTTTATGAGTTTTATAACGATCAGTGTAATAATCTTTAAGAGTGGCGGTCATTTTTAGGAGGCGAGGTCATTAGGCAAGGTTAAATGGTTCAGGTGGCTGGTTCTTTATGAGTGTTATAACGATCAGTGTAAAAATCTTTAAGAGTGACGGTCATTTTTACGACGTGCTGAGGTCTTTAGATGTGGCTTCTAGGAATAGGTGTTGCCTACTCTACGAGAGGCTTTGTCCGTTTAGGCGATTTCAGACAAGCTTATATCATGCTGTTGCTTAAGAAAGGGTCTTCACATTATTACAGATGAAACTTGTAATATTGTCGAACACAAATCATCCTATGAGCTTATACAAGAAAGTACATAAAGTATTTTGAGTCTCTGAAGAAATTTCTTTATTCCCGAGTAAAAACTGAGCCAGTGTCTGGCAAAAATTATTGAAAGACGGACATCTTATTATTTTTTTCTTTTTTATCTTTTCCTGAAAGAATCGGTCCTCACCGAAAAACGGCATGAAATCTGTTTAGTTCAAGTAAACATAAAGATTTTATAGAAATTACAACCTAATTGTCAGTTTAAACGAAGGGAAATAAATATGTAAATGATGATTTACATAATTGTGTTTGGTTTTTCTCCCATAGTTCCTGCCAGGAAATGTTGATAAATAAGTAATTTGTTTTGAAGAGCCTCAAGCACAGCATTTTCCATTTATTTGTTGGACTTTTACGCATAAAATTAAAATGTTAACATTATGCTATAATTGTTGAAATTTTAAAACAAAATGTACTTTAATAATGTCGATTGAACAGTAGAAAAATTATTATGTATTTGGAACATGTTTCTGTAAGGAAATAAGTTGTTATCGACTTAGTGTCCAGCTTAATTTTTGATCCAATGACAACGCTGTATCTCTTTAGACTGGTGTCCAGCTTTATTTGTCATCCATTGAAAACACTGTATTTCTTTAGATTTGTGTGTGTTTACTTTCATAGAAGAACAAAAGTCGATACTATATGAAATTCTTTTCATAGTAGCCTTCTATTTTTCATGGTGTTTCATAGAACTGCATTCGTAATTACAGGCATGACGTTATATAGAGTAAATATATTCATGAAGCCAAATAAAGCTTGGCACTAAGTATATTAGTATTCATCAGAAAACACGAAAAACGTCAGTACTCGTGTTTTCCCCTGACGCCCCACGGAGCAAAAATAGGACATTGCGCATCAGCCACCATATATTGCCCTTTAACTCTAGTTTAAGAATCAAGTCAGTCTGCATATCTTTTAATTTTACATCTTGATATCCCCAAAATTATTAATCAGAATCAGTTTAAATCATTGATCGAAATTGAATAAGTTGGCGTTTTCTAGCGATATGGTCTTACCTGAGTTGTAATGTTTTACAGTTGTGTATCCCATAAATTACGTCATTTAAATTACATCAGTTAAATTATGTCGTATAAATTTCAAATTTGAATTAAATAAATGGATGCAGTATATATAAAGTCAATACCCTTCCTCTTCAGTACTTAGAAGATCGGTTATTGTAGCGTACGGTATTAAAATCTTGGAATCGAAAGTTTGAGTCATTCTTGTCTTGGTCCTTGTTTATTCCGTGACATGTTTTATCTTTCTGTTGCGCATGCGCCGCCGTTGTTCTTTGTAATAGATGTTGAAAGCTATACATAGTCCGTTTCCGGTTTAAAAACGTGTTCGGTAGAAACTTTTCGCAGTAATTTTTCGCAAACACTGGGCCTACAATTAACTTTCGAAAACTGTAAAGAAGCAGTTTCATATATTGACAGTATAAGTATTGTAGTCAATCAACAAATTAATGATGGGACCTTCTAGAAGTGGGAAGAATGACAAAAAAAACTCAAGGAAAGGGAAGTAACTCCTCCCACACTCAAAAGCAGACGAATCAAGCTGTCGAATCTGATGATGATGAAGTTATGTTGGATGAAATTTTATCATCTATAAATGACCAAAGTCAATCTCCAAAGATGAAATCCCTTGCTAATGAACTTGCAACATTATTGTTGCCAGCAATAACATCTGTTCTCACTAATGTAATTGAGAAATCATCTGTGCAAAAAGATCAGTTTGAAAGAGCTAAGGCGAATATAAGAGTTATTAAGTATGAGAATGATAGACTTGAACAATATACTAGAAGAGAGAATATTAGAATTTTCAATCTTAAGCTGAACCCAGGTAAATCTCTGGCAGAAGGTGTTGTTGCCATGCTGAATGAAATGGCTTTACATGGGTATAATCCAGACGAGTCAGAGGGAGAGCCTCCATATCATTTTAAAGTAGAAGATATCAGTGTGTGCCATCGCCTTGGCAAGTTTCCGGAGGAAGGTCATCCAGATTCTCGTCCTGTTATTGTTCGGTTTGTCCGCAGGCAAACTGTACTTAATGTATTCAAATACAAAAAAAATCTTAGAAGATATCAGTGTGTGCCATCGCCTTTGCAAGTTTCCGGAGGAAGGTCATCCAGATTCTCGTCCTGTTATTATTCGGTTTGTTCGCAGGCAAACTGTACTTAATGTATTTAAATACAAAAAAAATCTTAGACATATGTCAAGATATCAAGAAGATAAACGTCAGGGAAAGAAGTATGTTTTCATTACAAAAGACCTTACAAGATTAAGAGTTAAACTTAGAGATTATGTTAAAATGCAGGAAGGTGTAAGCAGTGTGTATACTACTGAAAGAAATATCCATTGTACTAAAGAGGGTAAACACTATATTATCACAAATCCCGATGATCTCTTTAAACTTGGTATTGTGCCAGACCTTGATGAACTCCAGCTTCAGTCATTTGTATAGGATACATCGGAAGGTGGTGATGTGCCTCATTGTATTCTTGATTGCGATGACAGTGAGAATGTTCAAAGTGACAGTAACTTCGCACATGTAGAAGCCAATGAAAAGACAGTTCATGATCACACTTACAGTTATATGTTGTTACATTCCAGTTTAAAGTTTACATGTTTAAATATTTGTGGTTTGATGAACAAATTGAATTATCCTGATTTTCATGACTTTATTAATAATTACGATATTATTGGGTTAGTTGAAACCAAACTAGATGACTTTGATACTGTATGTTGTAATGGTTTTAAATATATTGGTCTAAATCGTAAGTCCTTTAAACGTAAATCAGGTGGAATTGGGTTGTTAGTGAAAGAATGCTACCATCAATATGTATCTGTTTTGAATTCTAGTAATGAAAACTGTTTGTGGTTTAAAATTGATAAG